CAGCTCTTCCTCTTTTCTCTCTCATCTCCAGGTCAATGGAAGTCTATGGACTATGGTTGAACTCAGCCCATATCTTCATTGCTGACCATTTATTTCCCCTCTTCCACTCACCAGCTGACCAAAGTGGTCACCAGAAATCTTACATGCCTGCTAATGTGTTCCCTTCGAGTTTCAGTCTTGGAGCAGGGTTTGTCCTGAAGGGACTTGGTTGCTTCCCTTGATGACTCCCTGGCAAACAACTTGTTTGTTTCTTGTAGTAGCCAATCAGACTGCCAGTTTTGTTTTCGATTTTTCCTGCTAGTCTTTCTTTCAAGAAATATATTCTGTTCCTCTAGCTGTTCCAGGCTGGTCTGCTTGTCCTTTCAATGGGAATGTCCCACCTCAGAAGATTATGGATGAGGCTCAGAATTCCACCTAAAGTCCTACACACTACAAAGGCTCCCCAAGAAGCCTGTTTCAGTGGGCAAGTTCTAGAACCCTTTTTAGGTATTCCAATGAGTTATAGCCTGACGATGGGCTTATATGCTTTCTGTCACCATGTTTTCCTACATTCCTTTCTATTCCACTCAAGCATCTAATTTACTACATCCTTTTTTACTGGAAGCCAAGTACTGACCATCTTCTTCCTTTGTAAGATCTGTGGAATTTGGTGAACTCCCTGTAAAAATCTGCTCATGGAGATGTTCTTCAGTCTCAAGGCTTTTCCTGTGTCAATTCTGACTCCCAGCAGCCCTGTGAGACAAAGTAGAAATGCCTCATAGGGTTGTGAAGACTGTATGTCTTTATAGGAACAGACTAGCACATCTTCCTCTCATGGAACAGCTGGTGGGTTCAAACCATTCACCTTTTAGTTAGTAGTCAACTGCTTTAACCACAGTGCCATCAGAATTCCTTAGCTGTGTGATATATCCAGTAAATGATAATCTCTTTAAGTCTCCATTTTCTCATTTATAGATTGAGGATAAAAAGAAAATCTCAGGATAGTTGTGATGGACAGATGAGATGATGACAGTTGGCATGTAATAACAATTGGTCTTATCTCCTTCCTTATTTTCGTGGTTGACATAAAGTTCAGGCTGGCTGGCTGGCTGTGTGCCGTGGAGTCAGTTCTGACTCAGAGCAACCCTGTACAGGGTTTCTGAGGTTGTAAATCTTTATGGGAGCAGAACGCCTCATCTTTCTCCCACAGAACAACTGGTAGTTTCCAACTGCTAACCTTGCGGTTCACAGCCCGATTTGTAAACACTACACTACCAGAGTGGGTTATAAACAACTTACTATCTTTTCAGACAATGCTTCAAGTCACCCTCTTCATCTATTTCCAATACCCGTCTATTGGTATTTCGCCTAAGTTTCACAGATACTCCACCTGCTCACTCTCTCTCCAGGTCTTGATGGTGAGCTAATATCATTTCCCACC